GAATGCTGCTAAGGTCCCGGTGCCTCCGAGGTCAGATGCGCCAGGCTTGGATCCTTCCATTATCGAGCAGGGGGCACCTGTTTCTGCTTCCGTCGAGGTCTGCGGCAAGGGGCCGAGTTCCAAAGTCCCAACCTCTGCACCAGCGACCTCGGCGCCGTCGTCTGGCCAGGCGAAGGGGGCTCGAAGAAGCCAATACCTCGCCCAAGGCTTCGTGAAAGGCTCCTCCCAGGTGCGGTTAGACCATGTGAGCGCCTCGGAGGACGTCAGCTCTTTGTGGAGTGCGGGGGTTACCTCGGAGAAATTATTCTCCCGTTTCTCACTGAGCCCGACTGATCAAGCTATGATCGAGTCAGCCGGGCCGGTGAAAGGTCTGGATGCTGCTGAGGTCTTCTTGTAGAGAAGCATGGCCATTGTGGATCACTGGAAGCACAAGTGGGCCAAGCAGTAGAAGGACCTTGAGAAGATGAGGGCCCGCTTCCAGCCATTGGAGGAGGAGAACCGGGCTCTAAAGGTCGCCCTTGGCAAGGCCAAGGGACAGAGTGAGGTGGGGCTCCGGGTTACAAAGGGAGATCTCTCGAGGGTTCAGAAGTCTCTGGAGATCGCCTTGCGGTCAAATGAGTCTTATGCTTCCCAGGTGAGTGAGTTGTAGGAGCTTGCCACCTCTTCTCGGGAACGGATGCGTTCTTTGGAAGATGAGGTGACGTCCTCTCGAGGTCGGGTGCGCTTCCTGGAAGACGAGGTGACGTCTCTGAAGGCGGACCTGGTGGTAGTGGCCGAGAAGCGTCTCTATGATGAGGTGCTTCTTGGTGGTAAAGAGGAGGAGGTGGCCGCTTTGAGGGTGGACCTTGCGAGGCTCGAAGCGGCGAGGGCGGGGCTGGAGAAGAAGCTCTAGGAGACCGAGCGGACTGTCGTCTTCGAGCATAAGAGGGGATTCCTCAAGGCAGCTTGCCAGGCTAGGCTGCTTGTTCCGGGGTTCAACTTCTCTGCTGATGGAACTACTTGGAGAAGATTGATGAATCTTCAAGTGCTCCATTCCAAGACCTTTAAACTCTTGAGGTTGACCACGAATTTGGATGAGGAACTCCTTTGAAGAAGCTTCAATGGAGAATAATCACCAAGGAGGCTCGATTATTCATGAAAGAGTGATGAAGCTTGTTGAACAAGCTAAAAGGTTGGAAACCTTTGAGAGAAACTTAGAGAGAAAGTTTCTCCACGAAATTTAGGACTTTAAGAGGAGAGAATTTGAGCCAAATTCTGATTTCATATCTCAAAAAGTGAAGTACAATGAGCAATTTAGAAATATATAGGGAGAGGTAGCTTGTAGAGGAAGCTAACCTTAACCATGGTTCACTAGGAACCATGGTAAGGTGTAGCTAACCATCCATGGTTTCTAAAACTTGTAGGAGAAGCTAACCTTGACCATGGTTCACTTAAGAACCATGGTAAGGTCAGCCAAACCTACTAAGGTTTAGAAGCTTGGAAGGCAAGCTTCAAAGCTTGTAAGAGAAGCTAGAAATTTCGGCCAAGAATAAAAGGAATGAGCTAGGCGGCCAAGGCTCAAAAATGCTCCATGATTTATTTCAAAAATATTTGATTTGGTTTAGTTAGGTTCATCAAATGATGATGAGACCTAGCTAAATCAAATCTATGAAAAATTAGGAGCAAAATGAGTCTAATATGCAAAATTTTGCCTAGGCCCAGTTCTGGCCCAATTACTAGTCACACCCTCAAGCATTGCTAAATGCCACCCCTTTTTCCCTACTAAAAAAATATAAAATGAATGTATCAACAAAGGAGGTTAAATGGAGTTAAACTCTCCAAGTAACCCACCCTAAAAACAATATACAATCACTAATAAAAGCAAGTAAAGTGCCTCACAAATACAAAGGCAAAAATAAGCCTATACAAAGAAACTACTATATGTACAAACATATGAAAAGGTCTTTAAGATCATCTCATTCCTCTTGGTTCTTTTAAGATATCACCTCTTGGATTCCTTGGTAGTGGCCATAGTCTATCATCCCCTCCCTCTTAAAAAGGATTTGACCTCAAATCTCGAGGGTCTTCATGATTATTGGCCACACCTACAAATATATAATAAAATTCATTAGAGGTGATATTGTCAACAAATAAATGTGAAAGGTATATCCTAGAAGGAATCCTTTCATGGAACCTAAAGAAATCAATGATACTAGACCTTCTAATATAATGAATAGGATCATCTCCTAAACATAGACTAGATATATTACTAAATCCTAAAAATGTGCTAAAACTAAAATTATGCACACTAGAGACTCAATCTTAAAAACTAGAACATCTTGCCTAAAGTACCCTATGTGGTAACCTAGGCATTTCCTAGAAAACAAAGGAAATACAACTAGAAAATTTCCTAAGCAATTTTGGATTATATTATTTGTTGGATAGTTATGAAAAGAATTTGTCACAAGGAACCTTGAAGGTTCATATGTTATATCCAATAAATAATATATTTCATAAATTGGGTGCATTATTGACACAACTAAGGTAGGAAAAGTCCTACACAAAGGAAGGCTATCTACCTTGGGCACCACCAAGGAAGTAGCATGAGAAGTAGAACTAGGTGAAGTCCACTTCACCTTCACCAAATCTTGAAGTTGAGACTCTTGATCGGCCCCACGGTGGGCGCCAAATGTTCTTATCGGAGATCGGTCGTAGGGAACGATCTGTTGGATAAGATCGGTGAGCCTCCTTTGCTGGTACGCTTACTGCTCCAAGATGGGGGTGGTACCTGCAAAAGAGACTCTGATGCTAAAGTTAGGGTTTGTATGAGTATGAGTCTCGTATAAGTAATGCACGTACCTTGGTGTGAATTAGGGTTTCGTTGGGCCTTGGGCCTGAGACCAGTTATGATCTGATTAGATAGCAGATCTCGTCTAGACCGAGATCTCCCAGCACATGTCCGAGGTCGTCCTGCGCTGTGATACTGAGCCCGAGCTCGGCATAGCGGTACGGATAGTACAGTTTGCAATCTTTACATATCAAAAGTCAAAATGTATTTTAATCTTCAACAATCACATATAGTTGAAATTCAGAATCTAATGCATTCACTGATGCATCCTTGTGTGCTTGTAGTCTTGGCGAAGCTTTGTATTTGGTAGAGAAACCATTGGTGTGATCAATAAATTAAAAACTTGTTGGCTTTGGTATCACTAACCTCCACAATATTAGATCTTATAATCAGTGTGTAAGTTATTAGAATACCAATATAAAAAAGAATGCTAGGAAAAAAAAATATTATAAATAGGAAAATTATTTTTTATTTCTTAGAAATATGACGATGAATAATATTTATTACATATTCTTTTAGGCCTTTTATTTTTATTTATTTTATTTAAATTATTTTGAATTTAAAAACATTTAAATATAATATTTTTTAAAAAAATATATCTAAAAATAATTTTCCTATTTATAACATTTATGTGAATCGTATTCCTAAAATTACAAAATAAAAATAGATATTTTCTTAGAAATAAAATATATCTGAAAAAAATTATATAATTATTTAACAAAATAATAATTTTGACCTGGTAGATACAATAAATTAGGAAAAAAAGTTAGAAGAATCAAAATATAAGAAAAAAACTTAATACAATCAGTTAAGTAAAAAGTTAGGAGAATCAAAATATAAAAAAAAACAAACAAACAAACATAAGCGAATCGGTTACAGAAAAAAAAAATGTAAGATAATCCGTGAAGAAAAAGTTAGGAGATTAAACCAAATACATTTTCTCTTCTCTATTATTATTAACTACGTAAATGCGTTCACCCTGCTCAATAATATCTTTTCTTTTTTTATTTCTTATTTTTTATTTTTTACCCCAAAGGAAAGAGATTAAAACAAATAATATTAAAAAATGAATAGTACCAAGGTGGAGAGAGAGAGAAAGTGTGCATGGAGTTGTGTGGGCGTTGGTAAACGGGTGATGTATTGTTGTTGACTTGTTGTAGTGATTGCTGTAATGGATTGACATATATTTATACATAATTTTAATATTAATTTAAAATAAAATTTAATAACATATTTTATATGTCATTATAATATATATTTATATTTTTTTAATAATATATAATGTTTATAATATATGTACAAATAATTTTTAATGATAAATATTATGTCACTATATAACAATCACTTTTTTTATAATGCAAGTTTATTTTTGGAAAATTAGAAATATAACTCATTTAAATGATTAGTGAATTATAGTGAATCATAATGCAATAGATGTCTTAAATCTTATTTAAGGATTACTTCTATTAATTAAAAATATCAGAAATTTCCTTTCCAATTTAAAAACAATCTTTTTCCGGAAAAAAATTTTCCTTTGAAATTCCAAATATTTCATTTTCATAAACCAAAAAAATAAAAATAATATATTCTTAAAATAAAATAAAATAAAATAATTTATTTTAATTTTTCATCACTTCCCCGTAAAGATTAAAAGAAAATTCCTTTCCTACAGGCATCTTTTCAAATTTTAATATTTCATTTCAAATTCAATTTAAAAAAAAAAATCAAATTCAAAATGGAGTTTCTATTTTATTTTTTCTTATTCGACCTCTAATTTAAAAATCAAATTCTTTCTTATCTTTAAGAATAAAATAATTATTATTACAAATTATTAAAAAAAACAATTATTTTCCAAAAGGTTACGTAATTAATTAAAGGTGCAGCTATTATACTGATATCATAAATCTAATGACACTAATAACCACTATTACAAAATCTCCTAAAATTAATAAATACATATCAATAATTGTATATAATTATCCATTTACTCTTAACTATTTATAAAGCAAAATTGTTCATGTTTACGAAATACGAACATGACTAATTACGTGTATTGGGTGGAACCTGTACAGAAAAAATCGAATGGTACGTTAAACGGGAGTCTTAGATATAAGTCGATCATTAAATGAGAAGCATGACAGACTTAATTACGAAGTAATATTGTCAGAAACAATTCGAGTAAAAATTTAATATATTAGCTGTACAGTTTTCTCTTGTTTACAAACCACATGTACAAGATGATTGTACCCAAGCTTGGGAGTAGAAGCACAACAGCTGTGCTAGCTAGCTGAAAACAAAGCTAGTTTATTCTAAATAGTTAGACAGATATATAATTACAACAATAATATCAAGTAACTTAATTCACAACTAAGATCCAATTCAAGCTAATTATTTGGTGAAGCCAATGGTGTAAGGAACTCCCGTGGCTTTCAACCAATCATCAGCATTTCCAGAAGTTCCACCTCTGAGGAATTCGCCAGCAGTGAATTGCTGTGCTTCGTTCTTAGGAATATTGGGGTGGTAACCCTTCCACTTCACCCTTCCTTGAACATTAGAACCAGGTCCAGTATTAGCGTACTCAGCATAGTACAACGTGTCAAGATACATGTCACCATCCCACGGAGTCCACCCTTCTGGCTGAATAAAGTCACCTATGTTTGATTCCATAACCACTGTTCTCGAAAATTGCTTCCACGGTCTTCCCAAATATGATTTTATTTGGGACTTCGAAGGGACCAGAGCCTGCTCTGGCACTATCTCGCAGTTCTGAATAACAATCCCTGTGGCCATGTTCTTCTGCTTCGTCCCATCTGCAGTCACTGTGTTGAACTGGTTAGGTTCTGGCATCCTCACGATGATTTTAGAGTTCTGGATCAGGGCTGCAGATGCACCGAAGATGAAGTCTATGGTGCCCGAGATTTCGCAGTTTCGGTAGAATTGACGGTTTGCATGAACGTACAACGTGTCTTGGTAACCTCGCATGGCGCAGTCGAATAACGCTGACAAGTCTCCCTGGTTTCTGAATGCCACTGCCTGATGCTTCTTTGCACCAGCTGTGTTCTCGAACGCTATCGACTTTGCGATGAATCCAGGTGCTGTGTTGGCTGTGTATACGCATGCATGCATGCATGCAGAATAATCAGGTTGTGCAAGTTCACCATAAATACTTTTTTGGGATCACGTTAGAGTTAATCAAAATTAAAGTCTGATCTCAATATTATTGATAAATGTGTGTTATCAAATCAATATTAAGAGTAAATATATATTATTAGGATGAAAGTCTAATTCTAATAAGAAAATGGTGTATTTTTCTATTAGAATTGAAGTTTTATTTTGATACGTGCATGTTATCCAAGTTTATATTAAATGTAACATGTTAATTCTAATTAAATAACAGTGCCAACAATATGTACCATACTATACCTGAGTATTTAGCTGTTAATAAGAGAATACTTACCGAAGGTAGCAGTTTGCATTGTCTTGACACCATCTACAAAGTTTTTGCTACCGGTAATAATGGTCTTTGCGGGGCCATCACCGTAGAGGAGAATATTTGCGGACTTCTTAGGAATGGTGATGTACTCGTCATAGGTTCCAGCCTTAACGTAAATAACAAACCTACCTTCGAAGCCATTAGGGTAGGAGTCAATAGCCTCCTTAACGGTTTTAAATTTACCACTACCATCCTTAGCAACCACTGCGTTTGGTGGCGGAGCATCTCCTTGTTCCACCTTAGCAAGGAGCTTGCGATCTGCAGCAGAGAACCACGTAGGAAACCCTTCGTTATCAACTTCCAGAAGACGACGGGAAGCGGGACTCAAATCCAGCTTCAAATTAAAACTCTTAAGGATTTTTGATAAGTTAGTGACAATGTCAAGGATTATGCCGGTGAGTTTCCCCATTTGGTCCAAACTTTGTGTGTGCAACTCTTCCTTAACCTTCTCCTCACCCTCTTTGCCACTGTCGAAACCGTCCATGCATGATTGTTGGTACGAGATTATGGCGCTCAACCAGTTTCTAAAGTCAGGAGCACGGTTATGCAGCGATTGAATGTTGCTATCTCGAACAAGGTTAATGGAGGACTCGATGCTGTCCATCGCGAACTCGATCAAGTCCTTGCAATCGTCCAAAGCCATTTTGAGGCCCGGGTTGTTGTCGCTATGTTCCACTGTGAGCCTGTCGCTCATGTTCAACGCTTGGATTACGCTCTTCACGGTTGTTTCCACCGCAGCTGCTATGTAAACCTTTGGATCTGAGGCGTTCTCAGATTTCACAGTGTTGAGAGTGTCGTGACATAGCTTAGGGTCCTCTGTGCCCTCGCACATTAGCTTCACCGATTTTTGGTGAGTTGCTACTTGAGGATCAGATGTGTCCTTTTTGTTAACCACGACCACAACACCGATGGCTACACCCACCACCAGGATGAGGGAAACACCAGAGACAAGAATTTTCCCATTCATCTTTTTTTTTTAATTTCTTTCCTCTTCTCTCACGAAATTATAACAACACAATACTGTAGGAAAGATGAAATATAGATTTCCTCCCCTTAGTTGGTTTGTTGTTTGGGAGGATGATGTATATGTATAATTAATTAGTACTTTGTAGTATGAGTCACACATCACCACAAGGATTCATGGGGTTTATATAGGTAGTATAACTTTTCTTTCTGTCTTAGAATAGATGAGAGCCTTGACGGGAATGAGTATTCAGAATTGACGGAGGTGTTGCTACGGTGGAAATAATCTTCCTATAATAAGCGAGAATTATTGGCATTTGGTGAGTAAGATTCTGTGTTGATTGATGGTAGATAATGTTTTCTTGCATTGTGATGACCAAGAATAGTTGAGTCCTGAACCG